GAGCGAACGTTGGTGCTGACTAATGGTGGCACAGTCATCTTGGCAGGTGTGCGAGTAAGTGCAGTCTGCCATCCGGCCCGTCGGCGTTTTTTGATCAAAGGGCTTTTATGACTCTCACCAAGCAAATAATTAGTGGGTAGCACAGAATACACAGTTTTTAGTCGTAGCATGTCCCGACGAGAATACTTGTAGATCCTGGTCATGATTAGCACCGTTATATGGATGAGTTAAACAATAAATTCCAATGTGCCGAACAAGCACGAGAGTGTAGCGCAGTCAATCAAAGGGCGCGCGCGGAAAAATAAGATAATCACCACCGCCTGAGTCCCTATTTGTGTGTTGTATGGCAGCTATCTGATTGGCCCCCTCCCTCTTCCTGAAAATTGTATCTTCGTATGTTAGAGCATACCGGTGATATTGCCATACTCAGCGATTCAAAACACGCTGAATGGCGCGGCAATTGAGGTTGCTCGGTATGTTATGTGTTTTGCACCCTCGAAGTGCAAGCAGTTGTTGTAAGACTTGCATGAGCCCGTTCCTGCATTCTTGTTGTAAGTAGTCGAATACTTGGTCTACCTCGGAATTCGCATAACGGCTGGTGGAGATATGTTGGAACATATCTTTCAATGACTAATCAAAGCCATATTGTCGTTTACTAATCTACGATATCCCTGGTGCAGCGTAATATATCTCTTTTACTGAAAGGGTGTGTGTGTGCATAAAACAGCTGTACTTATGTTGCTCTACGGCTGCGAAACTTGGTCTCTTCGAGCAGATGATGTCTAATAACCAACTCCCTTCGATAACCTCTGTCTGCCGGACATCCCTCGCATATGGTGGAAACATCGCGCGAATACCGATGAGGTCAGACGATGTGTGTTAAGGTTAGGTAGCCCTCAGTTGAGCATGTTCATTTCGCTGCACCCTCTGAGGTGACTGGGGCACGACCTACGAATATCCAGACAACGTTTGCCCTACTGTGCGCCATTTGCAGACATTAGGATGGATCGGAAGAAACAACGAATTAGCCAAACAGTGGCGCGAAATAAAGTGTTGAAGAAATTGTGTTCCGATTCGGCTTCTAGCTTTTGGGTCCCCGTGATTCAGCTTATCGTTTGCTGGAGACAATGCGGAATATGGCATGGAACCAAACTCAGTGACCGGAAGGCATCTTTTCCTGTCTGTAATTACAAAAATAAAAAACAGTGAAATTTCTGGCAGTAAACAAGAAAAATAATGCTGTTATCCCCCGCACCAGAAACTGCTTGTATTCGTTCTGTTTTGACGCAGTTTCTGTTAGTATTGGTTATATAAATACCAACTAGTGAAAGTGATATCCCCGATACCCGAATCGAGACCGAATCATTATACCTTATCTCATATCTTATCTTTTATTCTAACTGTTTGAAAGATTATCATCAAATCATTTAAAGCATACATAGTTTGGCGAAACAAGTTTTTTTCAGTAGCTCATTCTCAAACCCGTTACTGATTGCATAGATAATACTAGAAAACAGATCACGCAGTTAGACACAACATCAATCTTGGGTAAGAGTTTGTTACGGTCAACTTGCTTTTGTTATTTGATTGGTTCTACTTGCTTGAAGCCGCCTTAGGGGGTCCGGCGGTGGAATCAAACGGTGCTGATCGATCACAAGTTATAGAAGTTGGAGTGACTGGATCAAACGCTGTTGGTCGTAGAAATCAACAGTCAAATTTTTCAATCAGATCACTTTACAGGATTTTGGCCTCAGCCCTTGAACAGAGAGTTTAAGAATGCACTTTCTAATCGAACTGGATCGATTTTCTGGTAGGAATACAAAACTTAAGCCAGTTAAACCACAAATGGTCACATGCAGTCTGAGAGACACGTCTGATTGTATGCATCGGATAAAAAATGCTAATGTCACGTACAAAGCTATGTTTTCAATAGGCGTCGAGCATTTGTTGAAAAACGTACCGTTAGTAGAAACCATTGGTTTCTTATTGAAATAAATGGAAGAAAATAACCGCCGTATTGATTGATCCCCACTCGGTTCTCCCGAGCTTCTACCTCATTGCACACTGAATGCCCAATTCATATTTAAAGAACTTTGTCTATACAACGAGACGGTTTGGCTATGGAATCACCACTGGGTCCACTACTCGCTGATGCTCTTTCCGTAAAACTGGAAAGAACTAAACTGAACTGTGCAATCGATAGTTTTGAACATCACTACCGATATGTGGATAAAATATTCTGTGTGACTGATGCTAACTGCGAATTAGCATCCGCGTTACTGGAAGTTTCACAATCAGGGGAGAAACGAACAATCAACTACCGTGTGTAGATGTGTCGGATAGAACGGAAGGTGTACCAAAACCGAATGAACCGACCAGTACACCAACTTCACTATTTTCGTTAGCATCCAACAGAAACTTAACTTAGTGAAATGCTGGGCCGTCATGGGGAGAGTAATCTATTCTGAGGTGTTGCATGATAAGCTGATGCTCATTAGAAACACCTTATATGATTCCGTCACCCGGTCACCCTGAGGCAGTAGGTTAGTTAAATCAATCAAATGACCGTGATAAGCTCTTACTCGTGATTGATGTTGTGTCCAATCGTGAGATCCTCTGTCATGTGATTCCTATGTAATATGTAAACGGCTTAAGAATGAATTACTAAAAAAGCTTTTTTACCACATTACTTATTCTTCCAACTATAAAGCACTCTTCCATTTACTCTCGTAAGAGCTATTTTCGTTTAAGGTCATTATAACACCTACTACGAGGTCGCGTGTTCGAATCCCACCACTGCCTGGTATCTTTCCAATTTCTGTATTCCCGTCAGACGGCCTTTTGTTAGCTTTAGTTCCTTTCCTGAAAATTGGCTAAGCCGCTGTGTATTTCAGAAACCAAAATGGAAGTAAAACACACTGATAAACCAGCGCTGTTTTACACATAGGAGTTCACACTTTGCCCATATTATTGACACGAATGTAAACACAATTATTATGGATAAAATTTTCGGAACGTATTTAGTTGTGAAATTACGAAAATACAGTTCTACATCAGTGTATACCAATTTTCCCCAGAGCAACAGAATTGAAAGAAAACTGCGCGGGTGGCTGATTTCCGTAGTTTAGCTTTAAGATTTCGATACTTTCCTTTTTGGTGAGATATATTTCATTATATTTGGTACATTCCTGTTTTGCAGCTTCGACAGATCTAAAAAGTCGAGTGTCCCAACCGGCTTGAGACATATCTGCTTGAACTTCACTTATAAGCTGATAGACATTCGTCGACCTGCATTAGGTGTGTGTCTGTCTCTCTTTCCATGTACCGTAATAATGAGTGCTTTCCTGGTGCCTGACATTTATCCTGACCAGGGAATTTCGACATGCTAGTAGTTTAGTGGCTTCCTTACTGATTGTCTCGGGATTGGCTCCATCGATACCTGAAGCAATGTAATCACGTAGCAAACAATGGACCCATGAGTTCACTAATTTTGCTTACGAATCTGTTTTTTTATATTCCACATTATTGATTCAATAACAATTGTTGAGCCTTTTAGTTATATTGCCTTTCGTCATTGTACGACCGGGTGGTTAACCAAAAGATGAGCATGAAAATATCGGGTTTACTGTTTGTACGTATTGAAACGAACTGAACTCGTGAGTGCTCTTGCGCACTAACTAGCTTTCGCCCTCAGGCACACACATTATGGACGTTTTCTCTCCCGCCATCCTCACTTGTGTTCCCCTATACAGCTTAGCTTTGATCGTGTATCTTACATTGGTGGAGGGCGTCCACTTCAGTATGGCTTTCAGGGCTGCATGCGCAGTATCCGAGTGAATGGGATTGAGGTGATTTGGAACGAATTGGACCCATCCGCTCGACACCAAAGTATTGTGAATGGGAGCTGCCTGATTCAGGATCGGTGCAGTCCAAATCCATGCAAACATGAAGCTCCGTGTTATCAGAATGGAGATACATTCTTTTGTGATTGTACAAACACGGGATATTCCGGAGCAGTTTGTCATCAGAGTGAATATTTCACCTCTTGTGCTGAGGTTAGCCTGTTCTATGCCTTGCAATATTCCGTGATCAACATCACAATCGATATGGACGGCTCGGGCGTTCTTGAACCGATCATGGTTACTTGTGACTTCACGGGTGAGTCCGAATTCAGTCAGTACGGATATTGTGGACTTAGCTGTCGGGTGTCTTTACGAATTATCTGTAGCGGTTGATGGTAGCGAAACAACTGGAAATTCGCTCTGCATTTTTTGCACAAATAGATCGTGACATTTAGAATTGTGAACAACAATGGAGCTCTGTTCTGGCAAAATGCGGTAAATGAACGCTTTCACTTTTATCAGTTTGGCCCATTATCATGCCTGTCCAGTTGCTACTGTTGTGTTTGGACTAGACGTACCAATAACACGAGCGACTCTTGCTTAACCCCCAACAATAACACCAAGAGAGAACACAGGTTGAGACAACAGTCAGTTCTTTGATTATATATCGATACGCAAATATATAGAAGAAATCACGCACACGAGAACAGCGCAGTGACGCACCAATCAGATTGCGTCCATGACCTATCGATTGATCGATTGGACCAACATTGACTAAGTCGTTCAAATCTGGCTCAGCTTATCTGACGCGTTGCGAGTGTGCGTGTGGCCTGACTCGGAAGCGTACGCGACCGGACGGGTTGCTTAAGCTCTGTCCTAACAGCTACCGTCTATGCTCTGCCATTTCAATTCAACAAGTATATGTGATTTTAAGATTTAGCTGTTCTCTTATTCATCACACAATCATTTATCAAAAAGTACTTGTTTGCTTAGTTCCCCCATTAGAATACAGCTTGGATCACACTACATAGCGGCACCTTTGCCATCACAATCTGTACGCTATTTACACATTCTTTTCAAACTGATTTCTATCCTCGTCGGAGCCTTCCTTGTCACTCGATGCGAAATTCTGCTGTCCCCGTAAGATATGTGATCAACTCAAGATAAAAGCTCACTTTGATAATCTTTTTGCCAACGATAGATTTAATGCAGTCAGTTTACCGTGCGTATTCCTCGGCTCACCAACAATGTGAACATCTAACGAAGATAGTTTACCTACTTTAGCCTCATCTATACTTGTCGGTTCGTTTGACTGTGTTTGTAACGCAACTTGCATTGACCGAACAGCGGGACAATCGTACCGACGGATTAAAAGACACGGTCCGCGGTAGCTTCAGCTTCACAGCACGTCACAGAGCGTCAAATATCACACTCGGACTGCCACGTGAAGCTCAAACCAGCCTTTGGACCTATCCATCGAGTTGATACTCGACCCATATCGTTGCGTTTCCACACCCGAGCCGCGGCGGAGAATCGGCATTTGCATGGTCGCAACCAGCCTATGCGCATAAGAAAGATTAACTCACGCCATGTAGTTGCCATGGTTGCAGGTGATACACACGTGACGCATTAAAGTCTAATTGCAGAGGTGTGGTCGCCTAGTGGTTTGAAACAGTGCACCACTGTCACCACTTGTCGATTTCCGTTCGGTCGTATCATTCCCCGTACGAGAGCCGAGAGATGATGTGCTTGTGATAATTGTCATTTGTGTGTGTGCATATGTGGAAAGCAGATGGAGGGTGGTTGTGAGAGGGTGAGTGGGTGAGTGAATGGCCAGTGTTTTTACAAACTGTTTCTGGGCTCAAAAGGGGGGTCGGGATGTGGAGGCTAGTTGCAGTTGGGACTTGATCTCTTTGGCCAACCTTCGCTCAACCGTATAAAAGGGGCCGGAAAGTCTCAAGCACATTGACGGTTTAGATTCAATCAGATAGCTCGTAATTACCTTCGCCCCGGACCTGATCGATTCCTGATTCAACCATCTGGGGTGATGCTATTTGATGCTAGACGTTTCACAGTTCGACCCACATGACACCATACAGGAGCAAGTGAGTTGATGATACCTAAATCTATCTAGCTGTCATAGATTGTGCTGGCTAAATAAGCCAGTTGGTGTAGCATCCAAAGCGAGCTCGTTTGCTAACTTGCGTTCTCATTGGATAACGGATTGAAGGCAATCGTTCCCCTCTAAACATTCATTCGCAAATCGTACCTACCTCCTTATTGATCATTCTTGAATTTATGCTTGCGTTTTAGCTTCTTATCAAGTTATGAATTAGCTTCACTCCGAAATCAATTCCAGATAGCCAGAGCCCATGAAATTAGATTGTATTGATTTCAATTCCGTCGAGGTTCACTTTAATCGTTCAAATAAATAAATAAATAAATAATGGTTTTAGGTGAAAAATGGATGGTTTGACTGGTATTAATGTAGTTTTGCTTCGTTTTTATTGAGTATGCAAATGTGCAATCAATTTTCAGGTAGGCAACAGAGGCTGCCTGAAAAGTAGAAAAAAGAGTCGAATGATAGCACACAAATCACTACAGAACCCATTATCTGTAAGGCTGCGTCTTCACTGTGGTGAAATCAAAACCCTCCTAAATGAGGTTTTTTATCACTTTGCGTCTATTTTTCAATATTGATTATCATAAGCCATTGTCTACCATCAGTTTAGGAGTCTTGGAAGCCAAAAGATCAGTACACTGACAAATGAACTGTTAGTTATTAAATTCAGATTGTAAGCTGATCAGAATTAAAAGGCAAATACGATAACATCAGTTCTGTGGAAATTGTCAGGTGACCACAGGGTGTTTTCCGTTTTGAGTGGCTATACATTTTTCGTTGTTATTGTTGTTGTTTTTCAGATCCTTCTGGTGTTATCACTATATTACGTCATGATGCGCCTGGATATGTAACAGTGGATGGATATCAGGCACCGGGATCCTACAGACGTACGCTTAAATATGGTCGTGCAAATCGGGAAACTCTTGGAGAGTTGGTGCGGCGAGCAGATCGATGCGAACAATCGATCACCTACGAGTGCTGGAATTCGCTTTTGCTAAAACTTCCAGCTGGAGGTAGGTCAAAACCGGAGATACATATGTTAGGATGTATCCAAAAGAGAAAAACAAGTAGATGTAACTTTAAAATTATTCCCCTTATTTTCGAAAGACAAAAATTATGATCATAAAAGGGCTTACTTATGTTGCCTTACTCATGTCTTGGAGCTTATACATTATCGTTAGGGTATGTATTCAATCATTTCAATATACTATTTGCCGACGTCCTCCGTTTTAATGTGATTAATCTATCTGAGAAATTAGAAAAACAAATGAGCAATGCTACAACGTATACAAAAAACTAGCTTTGACTTCAGGATTGAGAAAGGTTCGCTGTAGCCTATGACAAACTTTCTAACAATCAATAGAAATTGAGGTTGGGTTCAAACTCGTATGCTAGAAGGGGATAGACTGATCACCTACACCGGTCAATCACCGCGACCCCGAACGCTTCGAAACGTTCAATAAGTGTGTGAACTTGGTATTAGTTTCACCCCCAAAAATACTTTTTATTAATCCTCTCACTTACTTTTTTGGTGAGGATTTGTGGCTTTATGATGCTTGAGTTTGATTAGGCTCAACAAACTGCCTGACATCATGTGCAAAATGACGTTTTAGTTCTTACAAACACAAAAAGAGCGTACTTACAAATCCCCCAAACTGCGTGAATGACAGATATTTTATTTTATTTTTTAAAACATGTAGTTGCATCCTTTTCGGAGAAGCTTCCATAAGATCATGATGTCAAACATGTGTGCTGTGTGAACTGAAAATGAAGCAATTAGGGATATGCATGGAAACTTTGAAGTTTGAAACTATTTTTTTACCTTCTTTGTGTGAGATTATTCGATTTTCATTGTTTACCATTGCGGTGCAAGGCCACGAGATGTGTTTGACTGAACGTTTCCATCCCGGATGATTACAGAAGCTACAATAAAATACAATAATTCAAGTGTTACATAGTTTTCAATCACATTTTCTAACAGCCGGCGCATAGATTCGTTGGTGTTGATTGGTAGTGCAAGATATACTTGCTGTCACAGTGATAACTAATTTGCGCGTGCAAAGCAAATCGTTTGTGGATCACTTATCAACTAACCTTTGGAATTATGAGTCGGATATTCAGATGGTATACTTAAGATAGATCACATCATACAACATGCGATAACATTGAGGACCTATCTCTCTCTATTCGATCACCCATTTTCGTTGTGACCAGATTGAGCAAATGTACGGGTGAGGAATTTCTGATTTCGCAGTAGGATGTGATTGCACTGCCTGACCGAGGTTAAATATGGCTTGTTGAGTCACGGTAATCATCAAAACTTTCTTGTATAAATGCCAGATGGTTTTAACTTGTGACGACTGAGGAGATTAAGAGATAGGTTAACATCTCTCAGTGTTTGTCTTCTCTCCATTCTAAAAAAGTATTATTTGACTGACCGTTTTTGGATTTTCCTTCCTCATTAGGAAGATCATTTATTGATCATCTATCCGATCGCAGCTGGTTTTGTGTCAAGCATTTTCGTTCGCACATGGACATTTGCGTGAGCGGTAAGATAATAAACTGTGAAGGAGCGCTTCTCCGTGAAAGAACAGCAAGCCTTCGAAAAGCTATGAAAACGGTGTACGTCTGTTACATCCACGTTCAAAATCATCAGTGTGATGCACAACCAGCGAACTGGGGGTTGATTTAAAGGCAACATAACTAGTTATGGCACAACAGGCTATCCCGCGACGTTTACCTGCCTGACGCTTTCCCTGTGTTCCATAGACGTTATTCAAAGCGGCCAATCATATAGGTTGCTGGGACCTATGGTAAATTTGGCCTTGTGCTTTCGGTGGAAATTTCTCCATTCATATCAGACCACTTATTATAAGGATATTTGTTAGATTGTCAAACTTACATTCACTCGTTATTCACAAAGGGATGATTTATTGACAGTAGTGGCCCGCTGGTAACGTCACAAAACTATCACCCTAGAGGATGTGTTCGAACGCCACCGCTGCCGCTTAACTTCCCATTGTCTGTGTTGTATGGAAGTCCTTTGATTGACTGCTTCCCCCTTCTTTGAAATTGTATCTATGTATATTTAATAGAAGTGCCACCAATATGTGTTAAATAATGGGGCTGTGCACAGCCTGATTTTTTTCGGGAAAGAAAACACGAGGACACCGAGTAGGCGTTTTCCCTCGAACATGTTGGAAGTTTTTAGGAAAAATTACGTTTTCCTTGACGGGCACCGTGATGTTCAGGGACCATAAAATTGGTCAGATCCTACGATGGTTTGGGCAAGGCGGAGAATATTTTCATCTGAAGAGCTTTTCACGCTTGATTGCGCGTGGACAGATTTCTTTTCTTTGATCTTTACACGTCAAAAATTCATCACACGGTTCTTTTTCTTTTTCCCCTTCATTCTACTTCCTTTAATTGAATATACAAAGATACAATTTTCAGGAAGGGGGAAGCTACCAATCAAAGGGCCCCCATTTAACGCACTATGAGGAAGTCAGGCAATAGTGGTGGAATTCGAACACATCCCGGGGCGATAATTTGGTGATGTTACCACCGCGCCACCATTGCCCAGGTTAACGGAACATTCAGCGTTTGAGTTTACGGAACTTACAGTTCACTCTTTTGGTGTCCTTTTCAAAAATAAAAATCTTAGTGGTGAGCGTATTAACAATAATATTCATAATAATATTGGTAATAATAATAATAGGATATGTTTTGATTTCCTTATTATGTTTATTAATTGTGAAACCGTACCGTAAACTTTCAGGAAGGTGGCAGCCGCCAAACAAAGACTGTCTGGAAAAGTACAGAAGTGGTAAACAGTGACTTGCAAGTATGGTAATATGCTGACCACAGTCGAGTTTCTTGCTTTTAAATGCACTGGATTGTACATCTGGATGGAAGGTCGTTTTATGTTCATTTGACCTCTATCCTCATAGTACTATCGACTTGACTGACGACTAGCAAGATGGACTGCAGTACATGTTCACGTGCTCTGTGGAAGCTGTACAATTGGCACAGAGATATTTTATCGTTCATTTAAATATCATTTCTATTACCTATTGTGGAAATGCATACTTTAAATGTTGCCATTGTGTCTTAATTTCCGAATTTTATACGTTTCAGTTTATCTAGTTCTAATCCAACCCTATCTGTGTAGACCATGGGGCAGTTAACCGATTACACTCTGTGTTTGTTCTATCGTTCAGGTGGCACAACCCTAGAAAATCGAGCTTGGGGATGGTGGGTCAATCGGAAAGGTCGACCTCGGTTCTATTGGGGCGGCGGTGTTCCGGATCTACAGAAATGCGCTTGCGGTGTCGACGGAACTTGTACCGGTGACTCACTAACATGCAATTGTGACAGCGCTGGGTCGACTACACCACCACTGGTAGACAGCGGGCTGCTTCAATTCAAAGTGAGCTACTCTTTTGCTCTCTCACACAGACTTTGTTAGCAGGATTTCCGAAAATCAGTTATTTAGTTGATCCAATTTTTCTTTACAAGTTGACCTTATTCAGATATACCTTCTACGTGAATGAATTTGGTCTTATCGACTACTTTCTCGATCCCGTGATCAAATTATTATCCCTTCAAAGCAGTAAAAATCGATTCAGTTCTGTGTAAATTTTATGGCACTTTATGGATTAAATGCATCCAACTGAGTGCATTATGGCGTTCAGAATTGTACGGACTTTTGTGGTAACATTCACAGAGTAGATTATTAAATCCAGAGATTTTGGATGGTTTGCTTTTTTACATGAATAAATAGGAGATTCATAAGAAAGGTATTTTGAAAAATGCGAGAACCACTGCAAAGCTGTTTGAACATTGTGAATCCCGCCGATGATTGAGCTCAATCTATATATCTTAACTTCATTTTATAGCAATGCATCAGTTCACTTGACACTTTTATACCCTAACCAGCTATATCTTTCTCAACTGTACAGGATGACTTGCCAGTCATGGAAGTTCGCTTTGGTGATACTGGAGGTATTAACGACGATAAACGGGCTCGTTATCATGTGGGACCGTTGATATGCTATGGCGACAAATTGTTTGACAACACAGTCACCTTCCGGAAGCCGGATGCCAATTTGGAGCTTCCACCACTCTACTCGGAATACGCTTTTGATATGTCATTCACATTCCGCACTACGGTGACCGATGCGGTGATTATGCAAAATAATGGTCGCAGTTCCCAGCAATTCTTTGAAGTTCGTATCAGGAGTATGTCACGTAACGTTTTTCATGATTGGGAGTGGTTTATTTTTTGGCACGAAAATGAGGGTGATATACCAACCACTTATAAGTAGTCAAATTAGATATATGACTTTTGATCAGATCATTCCACTGTCTGCTGATCGCTGAAAACAGCAAGCGCAACACGCTTCGTAGATGTGCTAGGACCTAACGGTGCAGCAAATTAAAAATGACCTCTGATGAACTATTAATACTGTACCGCTGCATCTTTATCTTGCAACTTGAATAATCCCCACACCAGCATTCAAGCACTACGTTTCTGTCGATTTATCTTCTTGTATTTATACATTCTCCTGCGGTTGAAAGTAGCATCAATAGTAGAACAGGCTGGATGTTGAGCAGTGAAATCGATTTAGGAAGTCTGGAGTATGTGCTAAATTTGATGACTTTATTTACACAAAACAGCGTTCATAGGACATGTGAACTGAGATTAACGATCTATCGCAGCTTGCATAAGAGCATTTTCAATGATAATTTCATTAGCAATTGTTTGTGGATCTTTTATCATTTTTCATTTAAATTGGTAAAATACAGAAGGTATTTATTTGACGGTATTTAATTGAAAACGCTCTCACTTTTCGTCATCTGGAAATTAAAAATGAAAGAAACCGACAATAGAGCGGTTTACCGTATCTAGCTGTGAGTTAGTCAATGAAAGAGTTTCGAGAATTCACCAGACGGAAATCATCCAATGTATTATGAGCCTTTCTCTATCTTTTTATTTTTACGAATATTTTTCCAACACTTATTTAGACAACCGAATCTGCAATGTATCCCGAGGTTATTCAGCCGTTTTTCGCGGGTTTTAGCCATCACACCATCATCATGTATGTAATTCGGAAAATTTAGGAAACTAAGTTAATCACGCAATTTTTGTTTTATCTATTTTCATGATTTCATGGTTTTCAGGTTTCGCTAATCAACTTCAGCCTTTGCTCATGTTTTTTTGTATTTTGATTCGTCGAGAAACAAGAAGGCATGTCTCAACAAGCACAATAGGCTTCCATCGAGCCAGAGAGTTATTCATTGAGGTTCCAAAAGCAGTGAAGTCCATTGTCATCCGATGTAATGTGTCTTTGCAACAGTCGCTCATGATGTAGTTACTTTTGGATACTTTGATCGGTAGTACTAGCCCGATCGGAAGTTGATTGGTGTTGTTAAGTGATAGGACGATTTGATGAGTCCGTGAATTCTAAAGATTCCTTATTGGTGGTTTGACTATGCTGCAGCCTTAAGGAATCCGTATCCATATGGGAGCTTACTCTACTAATCTGGATGTGAGTTTACGCTATTCCGTAAAGGAATTTATGCCAAGGCTGAAACTACCTCGACTAAAGGCTAACTAATCATGGAAAATACTGTGTATTTTGGAATAATAATAATAATAATGGATGACGGGTTAAATACAAAGTGAGGTGGTAGTACAGAAGCACAATAGTCGTTTGCCACCCGAACAACCGTAGTCTCGTTCCAGTTGTTGAACATACCCTAAATAAGGTCACCCGATGCAGATCGGTTTTTGGAACCTACGAAGCACACTTTCCATCTTTGATGTCACAACAATGCACCGTCAGTAAACACGTACACACAAAGGCTTTAACGACTCGAAATTCAATGGCGAAGTCGATAATCGCCACTGGGTTAGCACAAAGGTTAATTCCATCTGCAAAAATTAGTAGAACTAGTAGTCGGATGCAGATATCAGCTAGTTTACTTATCGCAGTTCACTCGAATTTATTGTTAGATGAACAAGTTGTCATGACATGAGGCCGAATCGGCTGGTTCATTCACATAGTAAACGCTCCTGATGTCTGAGATGACCTAGGGTCCACAATCAGGATACGTCAGTGGGTCTGCTACAAAAATACGAATGACCTTAATAAAATAAACGTGCTT